GCGGTTCTATGTCAGGAAATCGATATGATCGGGCTAGCAAGCGGCAAAGGAGGACAGGAAGGTGAGCTGTTGAGTGGAATGGAGGAGGTATAGGGCTTGAGTGAACAGCAGGTTGTCAAGACAACTGATGGTAGGCCGAATAGGCTGGTTGTAAAACATGTAGGCGTAGATGGAGGCGGAAGGATAGGCGATTCTTCTGTACCGTCAATCGGGGATCATATTCTTGGACGAGACACAGACGGACACACCGAAAGGAGCGTCACACTGTCCGGCGGTACAGAGGTGCTACAGACAGGACGGGCTGGCAACCGGCCATTCCGACGGAGGATGACGCACATGAAGACGTGTGCAGACAGAGTGGCGAGCATTCCTGGCCGAAAATCGGCCCAATCAAAGGATATGGACTAGCGTACAAGGGGCAAATAGAGACAAAAACCCAACGAACCCACTCTCGGAGTCTTGCCTAATCCATTCAGTCGAAGGGGTCTGGTGGTGGGCCTGTGTGAACTGGTGTTTTGAGTGTTCGGTAGCCATAGCAACACGGTCTGTAGGGCCAAATCTGGAGGCACTGACAGAGAGTATTGCCGCGGCAACCTGACGGACCACAAACAGAAGATGCTTCGGTTACCTCAAAGTGGATCCACTTTTTGTTGATCACTATTGCCGAATTCAGTCACTATGGCTTCGGCATGCGGCCACTCTGAACTTGAGTATAGAATGACCCAAATTACCGGAAACATGAGGTTTTATTTTCAGTTAAGATTAGCGGTCAACAACGGGATCCTTCTATCTCGGGACCCTTGGGCTTGGGCTGCTAATTGTGACTCGAGAAGGAGGCCAGAATTTGCAAGTGAACCAGATTCTACTTCATTACGGAACTCTAAGTCCATTCCGTTGAACAATAGATCCGATGTTCCATGGAAGTTGTATGAGGAAAGAGGTGATATACAACTGCTGTGCATGAACTGACAATAATGATATTATTCTCATTCACAAAACGAGCTATTAAATCAAATTCACGATTAAATAGGCTAGCTAATAATTCTTCCAAATATCAAAATATTATAATGTCTGCCGGAATACGGGTTAGCAATGCAACTTACGAGAAGACTTTACTATGCCAACCTAGAGTTTAAATGCTTTAGTCAATTGAGCCGTGCTGGAATATAATATATTTCATTATGCTAAGTACTGATACAGAGTTTTATACATACACTCTATAACGCTAAAACATTATACAGTTCAGGCCTCCATTCTAAATCATAACGTATTTTGTCAATACTAAAATAATCTATAAAATGTTATAATACATTATTCTAAAATATATAATACTATGCTACCCCATAGTAGACCATATTTAATCACACTATAATATACTATGCAATAGTACTCAATAGCGTCCTGTTCTATACTATCC